CCCCCCCCCCCCCCCCCACCTTTCCCAAATAATGCAGAAAAATCTTTAACACCATTTTTTGTGGGGAAAAACAATTGATTACAAATATCCATTATATTTTATGAAATTTAACTTTCAGTTTCAGTCTTTCATATCAAAATTAAGTCAGTGATAAAAAAGCATGTATTTAAGGGTAACTCTTGGGTACTTTTCAATGTGTTGTTATTCAACGTACTGTTAATAATTGGAAACATTTTCCAGCAATTTTTAGATCTGATGGAAAGGAAGTTCTCACCACATGTGCCCAAGTTGCCAGCCAGAGGGCAGACTAGCCCACGAATGACGTCATGACCAACAGATCTATGGTAATTACTCTTAAATTTCACATACCTCATGGTTTTAAATGCTTCATTTATTTGTTTTTATATAATTTTATTCATTTTTTAAGGATTAATCATCATTTTTAGCTCCTCGCAGCTAACATTTTCTTTCAATATAACACCAAGAGGTTTCCTAACTTTTGAATCCACAGTTTCAGATACCTCTAACAAAAATTAATCTTCGATGATTTTAATCAATTTTGCTCAAATTGTGGGAATAATTACCATGTGCCATACTCAAATCCTCAAACCACCACCAGATAGAGGGCCACTTGGGTGAGAATACGTCACCCACAACACGATAAGGCTGCGATACGTACAATTTACTTTGTGATATGAAAGTGTGTAACTTCTATCACATCTGATGTACGACATGCCAGACTCTGTCGTTCAGGTCAACTGCCCTTAAAAAAACTTCCCTCTTTATCAAAATTAACCTGACCGAGGATGTTAATAATGCGCCAGTGATGTTAATTTTGTCATAATGCCTTATCTAGTTCGGACAGTTATTATTTATTTAAACTATCAAAATTTTTATGGGACTATGGTCTCTTGTGCCCACTGTTAACCTGTGACATTACATTCTACAGAAGATGCTTTGTAATGCATATATACAAATCAAATGAAAAAATAAAAATTGAGTTTAACAAAACAATGCTATAATTCATTATAGTAACTTAATGAACATAAATTATAACAATGATATAATTTTTTAACTTATTTGATTACCTTAATCTGATAAAGCAGTGTTACAGTTCATTTTACCAATCTCAAATACATCTGATGTGCATTTACATTAAACACCCAGCAATAAAATCCATTCACTAAAAAATAGGAAATTTGTCTCCACAATTCAAAAATGGGGGAGGGGGGGAGAAGGAAAAAGAAAAAAAAGGAAGGTTAAGTTTGGATAAGCATCGAGTAAAAAAAAAAGGCCTTAAAGAACATTTCACCTCCAGTTACTGCAAGCATACAAACATTGACCCTGCACACAGCAAAAGCTTAGCCACCAAATTTCTCCGTTACTTAAGCAACAGCTCTCAGCTCCTTCAGCGAGAACAGTAATTTAAGCCATTCCTCTGCTTCTCCTGAACACAGGTTAAATACAAAAAGAAAATCAATAAAAACCGAGCTCTAATAACCCGAAAAATGGCAAACACCACGTACTTTGGGTTTTAGCGATTATGAAACTACAACGTTGCTGTTTCTGATATTGGGGACTTGAGGTTTTGTTTGGGATTTAGCGATTAGAGGCATCAACTTGGGGTTGTTTATCAGAGAAGAGACAAATATTTCAGATTATCTGTGACACTCCAAGATTCTGGAGTGATTAAATTGTAGCAGAAAAGTCTCGATTGTGCTTGTGTGCAAATAGGGACATGAAAGAATGTTTGGCATTTTTAATAATGCCAAACTGCGATATGATACAGGAAAGTTATTATATAAATTTGGAACATTTCAACTACAGAAACTGAAAAGTGAGGTGACCCATACAAACATAATCAATAGCCAAAAATATCCAAGATAAGACTCTGAACCAAAATCTGTCAAGACTGTGAAAAAAAAATGTTTTGATCTTCCTAAAACTAAATCACTCAGGTCAAATTAAAAAACCAATCAGAACTTTGTAAAAAAAATAAAAGATGTTTTATTTTCTCTTCCTAAAATAAACCACTCTGATCAAATTCAATCTCTCTAGAAATGCATATCAAAATGCGTTAAAATAACACTCGATCAACATTCCTGACAGCTTTGATAAGATCTGCTGCAATTTACACAATGGGGCTCGATATTCATATATATTTACGGCTATCACTATAATGCCCAAATACACATTACACAAGATTTCAAAATATTATCAAAGACACAAATTAAGAGCATAAATATCCCACAAATTGTACATTAGACCATTCCCTACAAGCTCATATCTAAAATAGTTAAGATTTTTTTTTCTCTTTGTCTGTAGTCATGAAGTGTGTCTGTCATTTTTACACCCATGGTGCCAAACGCAATTGTTTTACTCCACTCGTAACTGTGCTACCACTCAGTCCCATTGTTCTGTAATAATGTACAAAGATGGTCCACGCCCTTTAATTATATCTCCATAGCGATACAATGTTAACACATACAACATCGTACTATTTGCCCACGGGTGCGTTCACAAGGGTAACCAAGTTGGGACCTCCCAAAAATTGGACTAAATGGGAGTATTTAATGTGATCAAGTAACGGTAGTGATAAACATTTGACGTTTAAGAGTTAGTTGCATTTTTGTTATCTGCTTAGAGTTATCACATGATGTAATTTTGTCGATGTCTAGACTAATATATATATATATATATATATATATATATATATATATATATATTAGCTACTCCCAGGTGAAAAACAGACCCACTTAAGATGAAAAATAGAAAATCTTAAACGCTCAAATCTTGAATTTCTTGTCAAAAGGTAGGATATATCATTTGAAGGCTAGAAAGCAAGGGACCAACGTCTCAATGCTGATAGATTATCGATGAAAAAAAATCCCTACTTTCTATATTGATGTTGATCTTTAACCAAGCATAACCACCAATTCATATCTGATTTTTGTATATTATTCTTTAAATGTTCAAGAAAATACTGGCAAAGGCTCAAAATTACTAAATTGCTTTTTAAACCATGAAAATAATTTTGTAATTGATAAAATTCTGTTCTTCGAAAAAAAAACTCAGTATCCTGTTTGTAAGATAACCTGTATAACATTCCACCAGACTTCTCCGGTATCTGTTGCCCGTAGGCACCTCCAGGATCGCAATAAAAATTAATTTCACTTTAACGACAAGAATCAATTTACTTGTTTTCAGTGTATAGCTGCATCACTAGGTGCCAAAAATTTTGTCAGCCTAGGTGTCGGCCACCTTCTTAACTTTGCTTTTCAATCAGCAAGAAAATCTTTCAACAATGATTAGAAATATTCATATTCAGCTTCAGATTAAAAAAATATTTATTTTTTGTTCTTACCACCAATTTCTGATGGTTTGAGGATCATTGTGATCGAAGGGCTCTTTTTAAGTCAAAAATCATAAAAGACATAAACCCGATTTTATCTATTTAACAAAAAACTTATGAAATGACCATTCCATTCCACCAGAAAAGAGGAACTGAAGAATCTTAGTCATAGTGGTAGAATACCTGGCAAAAGTGCCCACCATAGCAGGCAACAAAAGACCCTCCTTGATGATTTTGAATTTTCAACATGACAACTTTGGTCAATGTCGAGAAACAGAAACCTCTGGCAAAACATCAACGTTCATCAAACACCGAATCGGTGATGACACGTAAAGAAGATGAAATTCCCCCCCCCCCCCACCCAACTAACATATACAACAACAGACTTCAATATTAAATTTAATCTTAAGTGCTGTATATTGACATACACTATGAAGAGCCATAAAAAGAACTAGAATAAGCAAACCAGGCGGGGGACATGGTGACCGTCTCATGTTGGGCAAATCTAGACCCTGGATACTGAGTGTGATAAAAGAACATACTTCCTAATTTAAGAAGCGTGCGGGGACTTATCTTGAAGGGGGCCTTCTGATTAGTACGTGTTCTATTAAGGGTTTGTTTGCACTTAACTTAAATAACTTAAATTCATTCTTAAGGCATCTAAATTATGAAGTCTATGGCTCAAAATTGTTGACTTAATATTAAATGTGATGTTTCAAAAGAAAGCTGTTATCAAACTGACTTTGGAATCAACTATAAGTGACTGGCGGGACAGAAAGTCGCATGTCTCGAGGCTTAACTATCATCAACAGAGTTACACTTATAGGTGACTATAGCTCAAGATTCTAGGGGTCAACTAATTCATTTTCAAATTTTGATATGTGTCCACGTGTTGCACCTCAACTACAGGGGTGTCTAACTTGAGTTTACTGCAACAACCACAAATACCAGTTAGGTGCTATTAAGTCAGTCACATGCTCTTCTGGTGAATCACAATATACCAATGACTGAAAGTTTGATGGCACAAACAAACTTCCATCCAACTTGCTGCTGGTGTGATTGCACCCACACTAGTCCAATGGCAGGAATGACGCCATGTTTGAATATAATCCCACAATTGTCATAATACAGGGATTTGTGCTGTTTGTACCAGACACATGTTGAAGGAGACTGTGGTTGGTAATAACAGTATGCGAGCAATTTATTAACCTGCAAAATCAATTTATGTGGTACTGTTACATGGAGATAATCAGAGGCAAACAGAAGTCATCTTCTGGGTCTTCCCAGGACAGTATTTTTTCAGTTTACAATGACAGGCATCTAAATTTTTTCTGTTGGAAGACAGTCAAAAATGAAGGATGGTTCAACAAAGATAATTTGGAAGACCGTCAGAAAATATCTCTGCCTTCTTGACTCAGCATGTCTTAATTTCTGTTCTGACAGAAGAAGAAATACTAGAGGATACAAGTAAATTAACCAGTTAAAAGGTGCATTTCCTGGTTTGTTTGTTTGTTTGTTTGTTTTTTCTGAGATTCTTACCAAGCCACGTCCACCCTGGTTGACTGAATGTGTGGATGATTGGCAGGACAAATGTTTCATTTTCCAAGGCGCTGATGTTGTCTTGTCTAAACTGTACACCGTCCAGACTCCAAACAAAAAAGAGCTCTCCAAAATCGGATCCATTGAGACCAAGGAAACCTACAAAGAAAAATAGAATATTTTCATTATTTTTTTTTTTCACAATTAACCATTTTATAACGTACAGACTATCTAAAAACATATCTTTCTTTAGACATATGATCAAAGGCATACTATAGATTGCTTTCATGTTTAATCATCAAAAAATAGACAAGTTATTACTTTTACAATCTGCCTTGCAAGTCTATTTTATGTGATAATAAACTTCTTAATAACATAAAATTTCCCTCGCACACAATTGAAACAATCAACTTTCAATTTAGTCAAGTGTAGTTTTTTTTTTTTTTGCACTTTTTTTCATACCTCTCCCTTCATAAGTTGGTCCTCTCTCTCTCTCACACACACACACACACACACACACACACACACACACAAGAAATAAATCACTGAGGCACAGTTGCTATCTATACTCCACAGCCTGATCTCTCACTCTGTACTTTTAATCTGCAAACCTGAAGCCTCATACATCATAACCGTGCAATTAGTTTTAAATGTGAGAGCTCACAGGAGAAATCATTCACAGAAAAACACACGCAAGTACTCGGAAAGAGCCATTCATAATGCGTGTTATGATCTACAACTCTCTGACACTCCAAACATCGACAGTATTTACAGAAACAGCCCTTTTACAAATGCTCCTCCAAATCAGCATAGTACTTCACTCTAAAATACCAATGAGATACTTCTCCAAATGTCACAAGAACATGAGAGGCATGAAACCTTTGCTTTTTCCATTCACAACCCTATTTGTATGACTTTTACTCCTCTAAGTCTTCAGTGAAGCCTACTTAAGTAAAGGAAACATGCCTGACTGACAAGGGATAAGTTTCAATGAAATAAAAAAGAATCGTTACTTCTGAAAGATATTGGTACTGCAACCGCTAGGTCTAAACTGTACACCTGAGTGCAAACACTTCTGAACACGTTTTAGGTCAAGGTCAAATAAGCCACCGACCTTGACCTGAATTTGACCTTGGTCATAAGGTAGTGCTCTTTACTGTGAATGATAATTCCATATGCTGAAACTGTGGTTGTATTCTCCCCAGGGAGATAAGAACGAATCAGGATTAAAAAGATATATAATAGCCACGCACATATTGCAAACAAGCAATGTGCAGGTTTTAAATATATATATAAATGTGTGTGTTTCTTAAATTTCTAAATGCATTTATCCTAGTCACGGGTTGCCTGATTATTTAATAATGATATGATTTAAGTATTATAATAATAATATAAACTAAATATTACCTTGATACTGATCTTTGAATGCTGCCATAAATTACAATCCAGAAAATTACAAAATAGTACTGTTCCTATTTCTAAAAGAAGAAAATCATTTCTAATAACTGTCTTTGTATTTGAGAGAGAAAGAGAGGTGAGAGAGAGAGAGAGAGAGAGAGAGAGAGAGAGAGATCTTAAGCCCACCATTCAAATCACAAATACCTCGATCACACCACTGTTTGAAACCAACTTCCTTGTTGCTCAACTCTTTTACGGCAATGGCTTATCAACAGATAACGGTTCACCATTTTCTCACTTGACCTAGTATGGTGACAATTTTAAAATATGTCCCTAAGCCCACCTACCAATGTTGGAATTCACCTAAACTGACCACAGCAGTTAGAATTCCTTCATAAACCCATTCTCTGGCCAGCATAATTATTTAATTACCAACATTTTTATCAAGATACTCCTGTTTTCCTTCCAAAATAAGAACTTTAATGATTCCTTTTTCTTTTTTGGCAATTCATTACTAATCTTACAAAAATCACCTTTCTGGGAAGGCTCCCTTGGACAGCTAGTACAAACACTCAATTTTTTACGCCTCAGTTTCCATCAGGACCAACTTAAACCTGAAATCACCTGTAAATGCAATAAGAAAAGCACCCCTTGTCTTAATACCTGTATTGGAACACGACTCGGAAGTATCTTCAAATTGCCTTCTGATGCTTTCAGTACCATTCACTGTTCATATCTGTGTTGTTCCAAATCCAAGGTAACCTTAACAAGCATGCCAAAACACAGGGACCTTGTCTTACTGATTGGAAGGCCATTTGGTGGTTACTTTCCCATTTGTCCTGATATAATATGTCCCTTATCGGCAATAAAACTGGACAAATCTGAAAACGATTGCCCTTTTATTTCCTCCTGCCACTGTTGAAACAGATTTCCCTATTTGTAGTTTGATATGAAATTTAATTGTTTTTTATCACGTAATCAGGCATTGTGTTTTTCAGTAGTATTATGACTATTGTTATCGGGGAACGTCTGAGAATGGTTAAAGCTGTCAATTGAAAGATTCAATTAATTTCAGTTCTTTAATAACAATAACTGTATTACTAATGAAAAACAAAAAGATACGGTTTGTGAACCCAGTAAGGGTGTATTCCCAGAGATTTAGATCGATCCAAGGATTAAGATTTAGATCAACCTAACTCCCTGGAGGTTCACGCTAAATTGCAGTCAGCCGAGCGCGCACCATAGTTAATTACCCCTTACAGCTTTCAGTAGGCGGGACAGATGCTTAAGCCGGCTAAGCTAACAGTAATCTAGTGAGACTCCCCACTGGGATAGATTGATCTAAAATCTATGGAAATGGGGTCTAAGTTATTTTGCATTTAGATCGCATTTCTACTAAAGTTTAAACAGTCTAAGGGTGCCTTCCCAAAGAATCAGAAATTATTGTTTTATGATAACCTTTCATGTGCACTTGGCGTCTGGAAACTTTTTTACCGAGTTTTGGGTGCGACCTAACACACACACTTAAAGGGGCCCGCACACGGTGAGCATTCGGAGCTCGCCACTTGCGCTGCGCCAGATGCCCGCGCTCCTCAGCTCCCCGCAAACGATGCGCTCTTTGCTCAGCAGAGATGCCTCCCGGCCTGCCCCTATCGGATGCACCGCAAACTGTGGGATCATGTGATTAAGGAAACATTACATATTGTTGTTTTTTCTGATAGTAATGGATAATGGTGACCACATTAATCAATCAGACTAACTATAACTGTGTACATTTTTGTTGACTTCACTGGGGGCTGCCATTTTTGTTTGTTTCCGGCTACTGGCACATGCGCATTGTTAGCATGGCGTGAGCAATCGGCGCTTGCACCCCACACACGCTGAGACATTTGCCTCAAGAGACCAAAAAAATCAAACACGTGAGAAATTTTGCTCAGCCGCGCGTGAGGCAAAAATCTCACCAAAATACCCCCGCACACGATGAGCAAACGACGCAGCGCAAGTGGCACGCGCCAAATGCTCACCGTGTGCGGGCCCCTTAAGATAATCACCCAGAAGCTGCTTGAAGAGGCAGGGCTCCATAACTCGAAAGCATCGCGTATTGCGAATAACGATATCACATAGAGGCTACAATGTATTATATGGAGTGAGTATGGGCAAGTTATATAATCGAGACGCTTGCGCTCGGTCGCAATGCACGATGCTTTCGAGTTACGGAGCCTAGGGTCTTTCAGTTAATCTGATTGCATTCAGCAAGAGTCCCCAGAGAGTTGGATCTACCTAGTATAATGCTTTCATTGGGAATGCACCCTTAGTTGCCATACATTTTCTCTTACTTGCTTTTTCTGCTAAACACAAATGTGCTATTACACAATTAAAAATCTGTGTGAATCAAAATGGTTGGTTTCAAGTGTTAGTCTTAGTTATTTTTGTTTAAACACCCCAGACAGTCAACATTTTTTCAACACAAATATTTTCATTGTATTTTTTTTTTTTTTTTTTTTTTTTTTTAAAATTCTTTAAGTTTTCGTCAAAAAAAACCCACCTAAAA